GTTCTACATTTGCAAGTAGAACATCCGTATGTGAATGAGTGATCAGCAGCTTCTTAAGTGTGTGAGTACTTCGGTTTGAGAGACACAAGTTGGGTGGATTGCAGAGTGGCGAGGGCGCTTTCATGCTTTCTCGATTACTCATGAATTCCAGAGGGTATCTTAGGACAGCGCTCATGTGCTAGGCATGGGTTAAAGAAGGCTAATACTGAAAGTGTTTGCAAAGGAATCCAGTGGGTGAACGAATCCAGAGTGTCACTTAAATATATTCTTTGCAGAAATTAAGATTACTGAATGCTTAAAAATTTAATGCCCAAGAAGCACAAAAGGGGAGACCTCCTTGTCTATTAAGAAAATGCAGGTAATGCCTTGAGTTGAATTCATTGATTACTTTTATGGGAGAACTGATGAGACAGGTAGCTCTTTGTTTTGGAGAGCTAACAACTTTATTGTTCACAGTCTAAAATGTTAAGGAATCTCGGACATTCTGGTCTCAAATGCCTGGCTCTCTTGACTGCCATTAACAGTGTTTTTTTAAAAAAAAAAAAAAGCCGCAAACGCAAAATTTTCTCTCTGCTTGGCATACATGTATTTGCTTGCTTATTTATACTGTAAAATGTTAAAACAACGAAAGTATGTGACTTCATTATTTGCCTGGGTCACTTTTTTCGTCCTTTCCATGTGGGTAATCTTGCAGTACATGACAGTTGGACATGAACTCACTTCATATTGTTTCACAAAGCAATATATTTCGCATGTCCTGTAAATTGTTAAGTTTTGTGACTTTCCTTATCATAGTTCAACCGGGGAGAGGGAATTGTCACACTAACTGGCAAAAGCAATGTATATTATGCTACGCCAGCCGATTCGCAAATTTGCTTGCTTTCCAATTTGCCGCTAAAGGCTGAGTCATTCTTACTGTTATAACAAATACATATTAGATAAGTTATCGCAGCAAAACTGTTTCTCGTCTCTTGCAGTTGATGATAGCAGAAGTTTCAGACTCTAAAGTCAAAAACAAGGGCTTTTTTTAAACATTGACAGTATTTTAGACTCAAATGATTGTATGAAACACGTTTGACAATGAATATGGCTGCTGTTTATGTGTAGTTGATGACAACTGGTGTTTCCCCAGACTTTCCAAAAAGTGCCACTGGTCCTCTTTCTTCAGCTATGTTAATGTTAAAGATTCCTTTCTTGATTTCCCTTCAGCAAAGAGAACAAGTACCCATTTCAGTACCTTTTAAAGGAAACTGTAGCAATAGGATGCAAATTTATGCTTCTCTAACTGCAAAATTATCTTTTTGAGGAACAGATGGTAACCAAGTGCACCCTTGGAAAAAAACCTGTACTGGCCAGAGAGACTTGGGACCTGTCATAAACTTTTAAGAGTAGTTTTTTTTAGCTCAGTGACAGATATTTAGGTCATTTACATGCCTAAAGACCTTTTCATATCTGACTCTAAATCCTCGTGATTTCACTGAGAATTGACATTGCTTTAGCTACTTGGTCTCAATGTTTTCTTCATTCTAAGTGAGTTTTAGTAGTTGTTTCACGCCGATGTTGACCAACAATTAATGTCAGGGTTTAATTTACATGAAACTTCTCAGCAAAACCCCTTAAATTAAAACTTTCCTGTTATTAGGAATGCTGTTACAGGATTGGACTTGGATCTGCTTTCAGCACTGCTCATGCTCCATGAGAGCTTGATAGGATTTATGAGTTACGTGGGACTTCTTTCAAGAAGGCCGGCTTTCAGTAGAAACCAAACATCTTCCTTTTCCAGCCCAGCTTCACTTTTGTTTTGTTCCTCTTTCCTCTGTAAGAAAGGAAATTACAGAACCCTTATTACATTATTTGGTATCTTTAACTGTTTTGATTTTTGTCGGTTTATCTTCCTGCAGCAAAACTGATAAGTAATGACTTTGCCAAATATTAGGTCACATTACTTGATACGTGTAATATGTTTACGTAATGTGAGACCTGTAACGATGACTACACTATGATTACAGTAAAGGGATCAAGAAGCTGAAGTGCCTAATCTCAAAATTACAAGTATATTTGAATTTTGTAGTTTTGAGTACTTTTCATGCAGTGTAGTCACTTCCATCTCATGTGAATGAAGTTTGGCTTAATTTTTAGGGTTTTTTTTATAACCATGGTGCTACTGTTTGGCAAATACTATGCTCCGATTTCTGCCTAGAAGGAGCTACCAAAAAGTTGCTTCTTCCCTTAGTAGAGTATATATGGAAATAAAGATTTTAAAATGTTTGCTGCTATAGCAAAATCCATTCTGCTTACATGCGATATACAAATATTTTACTGATTGAACTGCGAGTACTTTAAACTATTTCTCAGCCTCCTCAAAGCAGTTTCTTGCAAGTAATGCAAACTGTGGAAAGCTTTATTTGTTAACATTTAAAAAAGGGGGGAGGGAAGTTAAAATTATCAGTATAAATCAAAAAATGTATTGAAACAGTTGATTTGAAATACTTTTAATCTGATGGGTTACATTTTCACAGTTAACACTTTATTGGGAAAACTATTTTTGATATTTTACATGAGAGGTGAAAGAGTTTGCAATCCAGAGGTCTGACTTTAAATTTAAACTTAACCAGGCTAAATCTAGACAGGAATGATTGCGTTTGAAAGTTTTGAGGTTTTATTTTAGACAGCAGATATTCACTGAGGTTAGTAGTGTATTGGATCATTGGTAGAAACTCACTTTTTTGCTTTTCTTCTAAATTCATGTTACAACTTTTTGCAGATAGGATATTGTCCGTGCAGACGTCCGAGTACCGTGGTGGCAGTGGCTGACTTGGCCTGGAAAACTTTGTTCTGATCTCTTTCAAAAACCTGAAATGATTACTACTTCCAGCAAATGCATAAAGATATGGCCTCAAGTTGCGCCAGGGGAGGCTTAGATTGGATGTGAGGAAAAAATTCTTTACTGAAAGAGTAGTTAAGCATTGGAACAGGCTGCCCAGGGAAGTGGTTGAGTCCCCATCCCTGGAAGTATTTAAAAGACGGGTAGATGAGGCACTTAGGGACATGGTTTAGTAGGCATGGTGGTGTTGGGTTGACGGTTGGACTCGATCTTGGAGGTCTCTTCCAACCTTAATGATTCTATGATTCTATATGGGGATGTGCCATACAACAAACCGGCCGTGTGAACTGGTAGCTAGTCGAGCTGATCAGGCCATCCGTTAGCAAGATGGCCAGTTTGTTTCACATGCACATCCGCATGTCTGAAGACTCAGAAACCAAACCACCTTCTAGGCGTCTTTCAAGTCAGCTGAGCTAAGTGCAGCATGGGAAGTTAAAGATATTACTGTACTGGGAATCGTTTGATGTCAGAAGGTTATTGCAGATTACTGTTCGGTGTCTGTTTTCAGTTTCTCACTTCTTGACTAAAAAGGATGTTTTTGTTATACATGTAGGCTTGTTTCAACAAAGGTTCAAAGACCTCCTATGTACAGGACAAAACACAAGCCCAAGAATGCACTTGAGTGATTGAGTAAGATGGGCTAATGGTCTTGTCTAAAAAGTCTGCTAAAAATAAAGTTTGATGCTACTTTTTGAGGAGGAATTCTTTGCATTGGAAACACAGAAGGAAAAAAAAAAAAAGACAAAAAGATAGCTGTCTGTGAACTTGAGTCTGGAAAACGAGTATCCTTATCACAATGAGAAGCACATGCTGCTTAATTATACACAAGACATTTTTCCTCTCTTGTATTTCATTCAAGGGAGGGACGTCTGAAGGATTAGTCACAACATGGGAGCAGCCCCACCTTCCATACCTTAATTAACAGTGTTCCTCTTAATGTGTTTCATTGCCTTTGTTGTAGACATCTGTTTGTGTTCAAAACTAGTTTTCAACTGGAAAGAAAACACAGATAAAAAAAGTCTTTTCCCATTATTTCTAACTTAATTTTTCTGTTGCTTATGTATGAATTACTGAGGAATTAACACAGATAAAATGTAGACTTTTTCCCACACGCACAGATAAAATTAATCGTTGTGTTTGATTCTTTGACTCTAGGCTATGGTGGCTTGTTATCCAGGCAATGGAACAGGATACGTGCGCCATGTTGATAATCCAAATGGAGACGGAAGATGTGTTACGTGTATATATTATCTTAATAAAGACTGGGATGCCAAGGTATGCAATAATTTCTTTCTATAACTTTTTTTTTACATATACTTGCTAATGCACTTTTGCTACAGGTCTTTGTTCAGGTCCTTATTTCTGTGCCTTAGTTGTGTTCTTACACTGTGTTAACTGTGGGTATCCTTTGCCCCCCCCCCCCCCCCCCCCCCCCCGCTGTTAGTGAGAGCAGATAGAGATGAGGCTTTTATTTTCAAGGCTTTGAATGATGCCAGCAGGACCTCCGTGACGGTGAGGTTGAAGGAAAGTTCCATGTTTTTCATGTATGTTTCTTAATTATACATATAAGTATCTGCTAGTATCCAAGTTTCATAAATACCTAATTATGCAACTTACTGTATGTTATTTGTATGGTAAACACCCACCCACACACACACAAAGAGTAAATAAAGAATATTTGAGCGATAATTGCTTTTAGTTTATTTCTCCTTACATTGTGTTGAATCTTGAGTTTACTGTTTGTTCAACTAGATTACTTAATTGAGTATGCTTATAAAAAGAAAGATGCTGTAGCTTGGGAGCAGTTTCAGATAAGCCAAGTGTTATGGTTATTGCCGTATCACTATAGTTCAAAGCAGCATGAGTCTTTGTGTCATTGTAGATACAGGGTGTAGAATAGATAAGGATTTATAACACAGTTCTAGTGGTCTAAGAATTTACTACCAGTGACTCGAAACTCTCCATAGATGTAGTGACTATGATAAAGTAACTTTTTAATAAGGATTTTCCTAGTGATTCAGTGGGATTAGGTAGATTTGAAGAATGGACATGGCTAACTGGCTGTATTGAAAGCATGAAAGTAATGCGAAGATAGCTTTGTTTATTCCTTGATTGCTTTGCAGTTAGCTATGGAGAAGTTTATTCTCATTGTATATGAAAAAAAGATAAAACTACTGATACTTCTGTCGTACTTAGGAAGTAGCATGCGGAGGAGCACGTAAGCAGTCAGTTTCTGTGAATTGGGTGCACGAGGTATGGATAACACAGGTTGCAGCTGAGAGTTTTTCTTTTACTTTTTTTTTCTTGAGTGCTGTCCATTTTTTATAAGAGCTGGATGAGACAATGAGACTGATAACATACTCGCATAAAACTGGTAGATCGGAAAGCTGAGTCAGAAATGGATGCACTTGAAGCTTTCTGTTTCTGACTTGCTCTTTTAAATGTCAAATTTGATCTTTCAATTAGAAAATAAATTACTAGCCTTTTTTGCCACGATAGCATCTTCACATATAAGTGCACTGGTTGGACTGAACATCCTAAAATGCAGCTCTGGGGCACTTTTAGTTGATTTACGGTTTCTCTCCTGGAAAAAAATGAATACGTACCAGAGTGTAGAAGTCAAGCAAATTGCATTTTCACAATAACTGTGAAAAATTTACTAGCTGGATATTTAATTTATGAACAAAGGTATTTAATTTCCTGCAAAATCTATTTTAAATTGCAAATTAATGTGTTACCAAGTATATTGGTTAGCAAAGAAAGAAGCTCAAACTTTCTTTAGGGAAACAAATTGATATAAATTGTCACTTCTTGTTCACTGATTTAGATCACAGTTAAAAAACAGTCATTTATATCAATTTACTTTGTTAGTACTTGCACCGTTATGACTTTCCCATGAAGGCCTATGGTGGCTGTCTATAGTTAGGTTTAACAACATCAATACCATCAGTAGGAAGAAGTTAATGTGACTTAAAAATAACTAACCCCACCTAGTGACTTAATTAACCCCACCTACTTGTGCTGTTTTCTAGGCGTGCATAGGTAGGTCCAACTGTTTTTCTCAAAGCCTGGAAGAGATCTAAATTGACCGGGAGTAATACAGTTCCAAGTTCACTTTGAAGTTTCCTAGACTTTCTCTCATCTTAATTACAGAAACATGACATGAACTTGTGCTGCTCTTAAATGAAACAATCTCTTTAATGGGAAAGGGTGAAACTCGGGTGTGAAATACAATGTTTCTCTTATCTGCATTGGCATATTTTTAGCCACCTGTGTAGGATCAGTAAGTCTCGTCCATTTTTTGCGAGTAGGTTAATGCAGCTAAAAAACAACCAATCTAAACCCACAGCTTTTTATTTAAACATGAATGGAGGTTTAATATCTGCAAGCATTCTGAAATTACTCAGTGAAAAATGTGTAAAATGTTTTGTTAAATGAAATGTATCAACAGAAGAGCTGTAGATTCGTAATTTCTATAGCATCTGATAAAGGGTTTTATTTCAGTTCCAAGTGTCTGAAATGTTTTCAAATGTGATATTCGGTACTTTTAAATACAATGAGACATTGTTTTCAAGCACTGGTTTTAAATATTTAATTTGTAGGTAAGTGGAGGCATCCTTCGGATATTTCCAGAAGGTAAAGCCCAATTCGCTGATATTGAACCCAAATTTGATAGACTGCTATTCTTCTGGTCTGATCGCCGCAACCCTCATGAAGTACAGCCAGCATTTGCTACAAGGTAGGACTAATGGACTCTCTGTATATTGCATGATGCCTCTTTTATCAAGAAATAAGTGGATCCTAATGAGAAATGAGTTACACTATGAATTATGACCTGATCCCAGCTCTTTCCATGTACAGTTCCCGTTGCACTATGACAAGAAGGGTTTTTTTTTGCCTTGATTGGGTTAGGTTTCTGCTGCGCTGCTGAGTTTGTACCAATGTCTGATCTCTTGTTTTGGAGAAAAAAAACATCCTGGGTGGGTGGGAGGGGGACTGGAAACACCAGAAGTTTCTGAGCGTGTACTTGGCAGAACTGGGTAGGAGCACACAGAGCTGTAAGAAGACCCCACCTTAGCCAAGGGGTGTTGTCCTCGTTATTTCTCTGTAATGGCTTTACAATCTCCTCCCTTTCCTTTGTCCTTAGCACCTTACTGTGTTACTGGAAGATTGACGAGGTACTTCAGTTTTCTGTCCCCTCTTGTTGGGAGGGAGTTGTTAGAAAATAGTAATTTTCAAACTAAGCCACCACATTCTAGTTGGGAGAGGGCTGTTGGGCAGAAACGACCATTGATACACAAATCTTTTCTTTCTCTGGAGTATTAGAGGAGTTGCTCCCAGTCTGAGTCACAAGGGGAACTTGATATCTCCTTCGTCCCTCAGTGTAGGGCAGCGGATGATGCTAAAGGTACCTGCATTCACTACCCCCACGTTCTGAGTGGCGTTTCCTGATATAGCGTTAATAGGTAAATCATTGGAGTCCTTGATCCAGACTTCCTGTTGCCCATGTCGCAACACGTTTGTGTGGCCAGAGCACTGAACATTGACTGGAGCTGTGAGATAACGCAAGTACCTCTGCAAGAAGTAACTTGAAACTGCCATTTCGGGAGGCTGTACCGCTCTCCCCTCCCCCTTTGTGCTCCGAGCAGTCGGAGGGTGAAATGCCATTTACTAAAGCTCCTTAGAGTCTTTTCTCAACAGCTGGCATTTCATATCTAAATCCTTTACGGGCAGGGGAAAACCAGAGGAGCCGTGTAAGAAGGGGTAGTTAATTTTCCCTTATGGCGAATGTCCAAAAAAAGAGGTTCTTGCAGTGTGACTCAGTGACAGACTTGACTGAGTAAAGTAAAGGATGAGGTCACAGGGCAAGGTGATACAGACAGAGGTTATAGAACTCTGTTACAGGTTCTGGGCAAGAACCGTAATAGCAACTCATCAAGAAAAAGAAGCATAAACTTACAGCATCAGTGTCACCCTTTCAGTGACTGTTCAGACAATACCTACTAATGGAAAAAAAAACCTGCTTGCTTTGTGCTTTATGAAATCTTTCTCCTGTCAGACTGCAGAAGTATCATCTCATTTAGGTTGTGTTTTATGTCAAGTGCTTCACTGTTTTTTTTTCTTCATAGTTCAGGAGTTCTTTTTCCATCCGTTTCCCCAGGTACGCAATAACAGTGTGGTATTTTGATGCAGATGAAAGAGCACGAGCTAAAGTAAAATATCTAACAGGTAATCTCTTGTTAATATCTTCTGCGTTCTTTTTTTCTGGAAGAATAGCTAAGTAGTCCAGCCTCATCTCCTTGGTCCACCCTGTGCACAAAAAGGGGGAGAAAACCAGCGTAACTGAGAGTCAGGTTTTACAGGGAAGGTGACCCACTGGTTGAGCTGCTAGGCAGTGACTTGGGAAATCCAGGTCAGTGCCTTGTCCTGCTCACACTTCCTCTGAGACCTGAGGCTGCTCGGTATTTTTCTATTTGGGATGTAGCTTCTCCCTAGTCTTGTCTCCCTAATAGGTGTGGAGGATGAGAGACTGTAAGGCACTGCGGAACTGAGAGCCCTGGAAATACTTTTGATCAAGTATAGTGATTAAACAAGTGTGAATACAACTTAGCTTGACTAGAATATCTCTACTGGAAAAACAAAAGCCTAAAATTAAAATCTGGAATCAAAGAATGGAGTTACTTCCTCCATTTCCAATTCCACATATCTAGCATCTGTTTTCCTTTTCTGGCTTCTCCCTCAAGAGGAAGTTGATCTAATTTTCCTGTTCCAATTAGCATTATAAGGAGAAATGGCCTAGGACTTCTGTCATGCTTGTAATTGCCATCACGATTTTGTGTTTGTTGCAGTAGTTTAAAAATAAACCAAAATCAGGTGTGCCGCAAGTGCAGACATGCACAGGGCCAGTTTCTCCATGGTTTTGTCAAGAGCTCTGAAACCGATGATGTTGAAGACATGTGCCAGTCATTTCAAAAGGAGATTTCCTTTCATTGCTGTTAGGCGTCTGAAGCTCTTAAGTAGCCCCAGAGCTATCTCGTGGCTGCGAAAGCTGCAGTTTATTTCAGTCCCCCTTGGTGCAGCCAGTGGCTTTGTGCATTTCGGGAGCGATAAGAGCAATGAAGCTCCTGCCTGGCTTGCAAAGAAATGCAGGGAGCCCCTCAGCTCCAGCCAGGCAGGCTGTCCTGCTGCTCGGTGGCGCATGCCCGGCGAGGCACGGTGACTTCCCAGGCGGTCAGGGATGCCGGGGAAAGCCCGCAAAAAAAAAGAATCCCGGATACCGCCCGCCGGGCCTCCCCAGAAAGCCTGTCTGTCTGTAAGCCGGTCTTCATGTCACAGCTCCTGGAGCCAGCCTTGGCGGACCAGAGCTGTTTTGGTTGTCTCCGCGCAGCTTCAGCTGCTGCGCTTCCAGAGAGAGTGCAGGGAAGTGGTTCAGGTGGGCTTGTGTCTGCAGGGGGGTGCTCCGCTCGGCCCTCCTCCCTCTCCAGGGTCCCCCTAAACTGCAGGCACTTAAGGAAGGAAGGCTGGGTTGGAGAGGTGGTTTAAATTTCAGTATCGGTTTGCCCTGTAATTGATTTACATTATCATATTGTTGCGATTTCAGTTTTCATTTACAATTAAAATTGCATTCTTTGCTCTGTATCTGCAGCAAGAATTGTGCGAGATGCTTTTTATTTTCTACTGACAACAAAATATAAAATTATAGAATAAAATGTCGTAAAATAGAAAACTATTCATTTTTGGCTTAGTGTCAGTCTAATTAAAGCCATGCAGAATGTGTGAATTTTTCTTGAATATGGGATACTGTGTCTGTTAATGTTTTGATAGTCAAACTTTTATTTGGGGGTACCTGAAGTTATCTAGGTCAATTTTTAGAAAAAAGGACAGAAGAGGTGTCGGTTGGTTGGCGGTTTTGGTTTGTTTATTTTTTAGCAGCAAGTCAAATGGAATGTTGCATTTTAAAAATCCCTCAGTTTCTTTACGAAGGTAAATACCCAGAAACTCCAGATATTCTGATACAGAATAATGGTCAATATCCTCAGATTCTCACTAGGCCATTCTTAAAGCTTACCTTTATAAAGGCTGAGATGGTGAGCTTCAGAACTGCACATATGATTCGAAGTATCTAG